ACAACTGTCTTGCTTAGCAACAGAAATTTTGGGCTCAATTGTGATCATAATTCAAGAAGGGTTGAGTGCACTCTTTGCCTGCTGAGCGGTGGCAAATATTTGAGCAAAACTTGATATCCCTCTCACTCCGGAAAACCATGCTAGGATCATTGCTGGAGAAATTCAGTACAAAACTAAAACAACCACACTAGCCATTGATGCAGGGCAGAGTTTTACATTTTCCTCCATGTTTTTGAAAGCCTATTTTAATATTTATCTTATCATCTATGACTTAGAGAAGAGCTGGAAAAATAGCTGGCATTCTCTGTGTAATTAGCTGGCTTTTAGGCAATATTCAGGCATTATTACTCATTGTTTCCCTCTTGGAGTATAAGTGAGGCCTTTTTACAGCTTCAGTGTAGGAAAATCTACCTAGCAACTTGTAACAACAAAAAAAAATCCAACTGCTTTCAAGAATGAGTTTCCAATTACTGAGTTAGTCCTTGACATGGCAACTACAATAATTAAAATGTTTATCTCTAGTTGACTGGCTGGACAGATAATAGAAAAGTATAGAAAAACCAAATGCTGTAGGTAGAAGACTCCAAGATCTATATTTCCTTTTTCTCCATCCACAGTTTGTTACAGTGATTTCATTTACTTCTCAGTTATTAATTAGGGGAGAAACTATTTTGTACATGTAACCTCTTTGACCTTTCAGATTTCCCTCTTCATGATATCCTGACATTATAAACCAATATTGCTAATAAATTATTTGCTGTTTTTCTAATTATTTTTGTTCCAACTCAGAGTTTGTGCCATCCAAGATGTGACAAGAAAGGTCACTGACTTTGATTTTCCCTAGTGGACGTATATATTTTTTTTACCAGTGATGGGTAAGAAGGAAATAGACAAATGTTGGAATGGGCTGACAAATATTATGTACCAGCTAAATGTGCTAATTTTTAGTTTGTAAGATATTCAGAACCAACATGCTTGGGTTAATGCATGTTTATAGCCGTGTTTAGAAAGAGAGAGAGAGAGAGAGAGAGAGAGAGAGAGAGAGAGGGGGGTGGGTGGGTGGGAGGGACCTTGGAGTCTTATAAACAGAGGCATAAATCAAAATCATGTGAAGTATTAGTACCACTTTATAAATCCTTAATAAGTCCACACCTGGAATACTGCATCCAGTTTTGATTAAGACATTACAAAGTAGAAGTTGACACTTTGGGAAAAAGTGCAAAGAAGAGCAACTAAGATGACAAAAACATATGAAGAACGGTTTCAGGAATTGGGTATGGCCAGTCTAGAGTAAAGAAGGACTAGGAGGACATGACAGCAGTATTCCAGTATTTGAGGGACTGCCACAAAGAACAGGGAGTCATCTTATTTTCCAAAGCACCAGAAGGCAAGACAAGAAACAATGGATGGAAACTAATCAAGAAGAGAAGAAATCTGAATTAAGGAGAAATTTCCTAACAGTCAGGATAATTAACCAGTGGAACAGCTTGCCTTCAGAAGTTGTAGGTGCTTCATCACAGAGGTTTTTAAGAAGAGACTGGACAGCCACTTGTCTGAAATGATAGGTGTCCTGCTTGAGTAGGGACTTGGACTAGAGAACCTTGAAGGTCTCTTCCAACTCTATTTTGATTGATTGAAAAAGATCTCATTTGAGATAGATTTTTCCAAACCCAAACCATAAAGTGACAACTCCACTGATGATGGAAACTGGAGTACAACACCTGTGAAATGCAACTCATTGCCTGATTTAGGGAGAAAAAAGCTGCAGAAGAAGCCAGTGAGGGGAGTTGAGGGCAGCCATTTCTCTTTAAAGCCCTGTGTTCTCTCCCAGTGCTTGTGGGAATATTGTTCTGCCCTCACTAGAGTCAATTCTTCCCCACTTTCCCATGTGAATTCAGCTACTTAAATATCAGTCAGGTAAGCCCACTAGTTGACTTCATTTTAGTGAAATCTGTGGATTTGGTCATCTCAATCAAATATGTAAGAATAAAAATCACCTCAGCTCTCATGGACCTCAAGAGAGTTTCACTTGCTGTCTTCAGGATTTAATTTGAGAGTCTCTCAGTGTGGCAAGAATTTTTAAGTGTTGACGACAATTGGCGAGAAGAAAATGGTATGATGTATAAGAGCAGTTGGCTTCTGGGCCCATTCAAAGTGATGATTTGGAGTTATAAAACTTTACGTAGCCAGGACGTAAAGAGATTGAACATCTCTTCCTGTCCTTATCTACTTATTTTTTTATATTTTGTACAGAGACACTTTCTCGATGTTTAAGTGGGAAGAATACTGTGGGAAAGAGGGATTCTTAAAAGCATATAACCTTCATGAGTCACGATAGGCTATTTGTAGCTTCAGAGCTAAAGGTAGCTATTGATCATCATCATCATCTCCTCCTCTTCCTCCTTCTCCTCCTCCTCTTCTACCTCCTCCACCTCCTGCTCCTCACAAAACAGAAAGAACAAACACAAATAATTGCTTCACTGACTGGTCTTCTTTGGAAATTTGAGTTTGACCCAGGAATTTAGGAATTATTCAAGTAACAACCTAAAATGATGAAGATGAAGATTTTCTATGCATATGGCACTGAATTACTTATCTGATGTATTATAAGAAAATGATTTCAGTTGCTTGAATTGCTCTTTGCTTCATATTTTAAAACATTCTCTAAGCTATTCTAAGGTTATTTTATGAAGGAAAGAGATAAAAAATTGCAAATGCAATTCTAGCATATCTAAAACAGCAGTATAAAAATAATACAATCGTGACTTTTTTTTCAATGTCTGTGGCAAGTTAAGAGGATATTTCCATATAAACGAGATTTCTAATTTTTTAGTTATTAAAGCTTCAAAATTTTGACCTTCCCGGTTTGTGTAATAGATCAAGCCATCTTACTCTGCCATAATCTCTGTATTTATGCAGTCCATCATTATTTACTCTTAACTGGCAGTGGCTTCTCAAAGGCATCATTGCAGGTATCAAATCCTCTATCTTTTTTAAAAAAATCATAAATATCTGATGTTTTTTGTTCCCAAAGACTTTCCTATGTGGACCAGTTGATGGGAAAGAATAATTTTTTTCTTTATCAGCATATTAATTTGTTTAGTCCCTTCTTCTCCTTCCAATTTTTTTTTTTGTGAGGGGGAGATCAGTCTTGTATAATCTGCAAAGAGGGATCACATTTGGGTCACATTTTTTTCTTTATGAGGGAAAAGTATCTGACCAAGATAATATGCATACCACTACATTATTCACATCCACCATCTAATTTGTTATTATTTCCTGTTCCTCATATAATCCAACAATTTACACTGACTCCGATTCACATCCTTATTACCTCCCTGATATTTACTTCTAAAATCTTCTTTATACAAATTCAGTCCATTCATTTGAAGAAGTGAATGGGATAATGAAATTGTATGCAGTAATAAAATTGGTCAGCCTTTAAGGTATTATATAGCTTTTGTTATACTTTGCCTTCACAGGACAGCAAATGATAGATGAAGTCCCAACAATTCTTTTCTCAAGTTTACTCATTTCTGCTATGTCAACATTCCAAGTAATAGTTATATGAAAAGCAAATGAAATAGTATGACAGGCATGCTCTACTGTATATTCTTAGATGCTGATAATTGACTAGAAGAATCATCTGGATGTCTGCATGTTCCTTTCAGAGAATCAGTTTAGTTTGTAATTAGGCTAAAAGAAGACTATATTTTGCAGATTTTTAAAAGGAAATCTTCCAGAACAGGAAATGTTTTATGCTATTCCAAAGATATTCTAGGGGAAAAACAGAATGTTTTGCATTGCCCTATTACATTCTATCTCTGAAATATTTTACGTATCCCCATGTTTGATGATATGCTCTTATTTGTTTCTTTTTTATCTTTAAAATATATTCAGGTATCTTTGCTTCCTCTTTAAATAATCTTGATTGTCTTTGTATTTGCTTAGTTATATTCAACTAATACCATTTCACTGATGATATTTCAGATATTTTCCAGTTAGAATAAAGAATGTTTTCAATGATTACATTTTTAAATGAGTCAATGATCGCACAATACATTTCAGATTTGTATGTTCTAAATGTTGCATATGCAAGTAATTGACCATTTTACTTTTTGATTGTATCTCTAATAGTATCATTAGTGATAGAGGGGAACGGGTATGCATTCAATATCAAATCAGACTATAACAATAAGAGAAGATGCTACCAATGTGAACTGCCGATGTTTTGAAGCTATAATTACATTTGACAGATTCTCTTCACTGTTGCCATTTCTTTCTTTATCCTTTTAAGCAAATTGTCTTAATGGTTTTTAATAAACTGAAAGGATTTTATTCAATAGAAGTTGACAGTCTTTACTGAGACAAAGGTTTTTCAACCTAAGGAAAGTACAATACAGTATTGGAAGACTATAACATAATTCTTCACTAGTCTTCACATGCAACACTCCTCACTATGGCAGTACAACAGTTATCCTAACAGTCTACAGTGTCTACACCTGCCAACATGAAGGAGAATTAAAAGGCAACAAAGAGCATAAAAGATTTCTGAGGTCTACTGAACCTTCAATCACAGATTTACAGATTACAAATCCTGTGATAAGGTCATTTTATTATTAGACTGCAGTGGGCTACTTCCATGATAACACGTCCTTCTGCGACAACTAATTAAAAAGTGGCTTGTGGTTTTTCTTACAGGAGCTATCTTTTGAAATTCTCTGTAACATTCCCAATTAATACTGCTATATTTAAGATTCACTTAAGTGGGGACACCATGGTGATTATAAGTCCAAGGACTACCGTAATTTGTAATGTTATTATTTTCAATGCTGTTGTAACTTGGAATGGCCATTAATCAATACCCCTAATAAAATGTATCACACCAAATCAGTGTGATATCAGTTATAACCCAAGCAATTGAAGGACAAAAGATCAAGTAAAATATTCTGTGATTGTATCAAAATTTATTAATACTGTTTTTCCTTGCCTTTCTTCAGGTGGCTAACCTTGCTTGCTCGGTATCAACAAATGAAGAAGGAATTAACATTGTCCAAACAGCAGCCAATCATTTGGAGACCTTGTGCCCTCAGGTATGATTTCTCTTTTTACTACATGTAAATACGTAAGTACATAGATAGAATGATTTTTCATTCACTCAATAGTGAATTTGCTGTTTGAGGATAAGATTCAGATGCATTCTTGTGTGATGTGTGATTTTTTTCCCCCCATTATCTCTCTCTATGCTGTTTAAACTGAAAAAGGTTTAGTCTGCTTTAGATCATACTTTCAGCCTCCAAGTCCTGTTCATTTGAGCTGCAATCTTTTCCTCTATTGATCAGAATATACATTCCCTTGAAGCAAAAGTCTTGATGGTATAATTTATTAGCACTTAAACAAACCCCTCAGAGTTTCCCTCACCATAGCTTCATTATTCAGGACTGAAATTGCTTTTTGTAGTTAAAATGTAGGAGAGGATCAGGATCTCTTCACTGGCTCCATCCTTGAGCTCCATCAAGCTAATCAGGTGCTTACATGAGTACAATTGTGCATATAATACAGAGGCACTTTGCCTTCTTTCTGTATTATGGGTTATTCTGGGAGCTGCCAATCAATCTGACTATAACTTTTCAAGCTTTAAAAGGCATGGGACTAGGTTATATGCAGGATCCCTGTCCCTGAGTTCACCTGCCCATCCCACACCAGGTACCTACCCTTAAATACTATCATCTTGTGTGCCTTTGGAAGCATGCCTTTCCAATTGCAGCCCCTTCCCTATGGAACACCCTCACCCCTAGGATCCTATAGGTCCCTGTCCTTTTATCCTTCTAGACAGCACAAAACCTGGCTCTTCCCCCAGGTGTTGGGATAATGCAAGGCCAGGTTGGGATGAGAATGGGAGTACCTTCAAGAAGGTTGGCTGCAGCACCAGGTTTTTCTGTTTTTATTTTTATTGCTGTTGGTTTTTATGCCACTTTATATTGTTTTAGATTATTTTATTGGTTACTAGTCACCCAGAGTTTTTTAAATGTGTGCCGTTCTATAAATTTATATAAATAGCAAGGCTAACCCCCACTGTATGACCTAGGAAGGCCTATCTGGGCTGCACAATTTGAATGATTGTTAGATGGTGCCAAAGAGTTAGAACTGGATGTACCTCCAGAGGCCATCTGGAATTTTGTCTAGGCGTGAAACTTTTAATATTAGAAAATGTTAGCCACAACAGCCGTATGTATATTTATAGGAACATAAACCACACAAAGCTTACTCCCGGGTAAAATTGGTATAGGAATGTGGCTTGAGTTCCACTGTTGATAAACACATGCAAGATACCACGGATCATCATGGATAAGCCCACCTGCAGATATAAGCTGGCTTTTGAAATTTCAACCAAAATATTATGAAAAATGTGTTACCCTTGGCTAAGCAACCGTTGAATCACAGGCAGGAATCTGCAAACGGTTATGTCATCATTTATAAAATCATGTGCTATTAAGATCATGACAGGCTTTAAAAATCTGAGCTCCAATTTGCAGAAAAGCCAAAGCCAATTTGGGGGTGTATTTTGGAACTTAAAATTCTTGGTTTATCAGTGAGTCTATGTAATATCTGTTATAAAACTGTCTTCTCAGCTAGCCTTAATATAATGATGCAGGTTGCCAGAGCATGATTCACACAGAGCATGATTCACACAGATTACATGTTATATACACACAGCCACTTCCTTTTTCCTGCTTAACAGTGTTTTCTATGCATACTGAGCATTGAACAAGGGCAATTTGAAAAGAAGATTCAAACATCTAAATAAATTTGGATGCATTGTCATCATTCAATAGGAAATGTCTGATTTCTGTATCATCTCTTTGCCCTAGAAGATTGAGTAAATAATGCTTCTCTTCTTAGACTAACCATGATAATGATTGTTGTTGTTTATAAGACTAAAGCATTGAAATACAAGTTAATACATCAACATATCCATATTTTTAAGGCATGAGAACTCCGCTTTTGGGGGTCTTTGGGGTGTGAGTGCAATGTTTGATGGGGGGGCTGCTCATTCAAACACGGTGGTTTTGGAAGATATAACTGGTTACAAGCCACCATAGAGATATCACTGAGGGAATATGTGGCTCAAACTCCCCATTGATTTATATCCACAAGGACATATATGTTGATAATGGGGAAATCATCCTAATAGGAAGGCAAATGCATCCAATCTGGCCAGAATGAAAGCCCTGTGGAATTTCATGGTGGTGATAAATAAATGACAGGAAGCTGGTACATTTCCATTGGAAAAGATCCCAACTGCTGCAAGATGAGATTTAGATCAATTCAAAAATCAGTGTCCCAAATATATTGTTTAAGAATACTTGGCTTTATTACAAACTAATGGAGAAATGTTTATTATAGGCTGCTTCTCATAGCCTGTTTATGGCCCCATTCACCAGATAAGATGAGATGAGATGAGATGAGATAAGATAACCTTTGTTGTCATTTTTTTACTGTGGGCACAATGGCACACATCAAAATGACATTTAGTTGCCCGCTCTCAAAGTGAAATACATACATGACACACACCTAAACATACTATATACAACACATGTACAGACCCACTCCCCTACATATACATAACAAATATATATTAAATACTGTCCATCTTGAATATATAACGGAAGGAGGAAGCTTGAGAGTTCACAAGTTTAATGCTGTATGGAATGAAACTATGGCTCCTCCCAGAAGGTAACAAGGAAAACAGGTCGTGAAGAGGATGTGTAGTGTCCCAGTCAATCTTACGGACCCTGCTCAAGCAACACTTCTGTGCTATGTCCTGGATGGGAGGGAGGGAGCTGCCAATGATCTTTTCGGCCATCCTCATCACTCTCTGCACTGCCTTCCTGTCTGAAGCAGTGATGCTTCCAAACCAGACTGTGATGCTGTATGACAGGATGCTCTAGATTGTCACTCTGTAGAACAGTGGTTCTCAATCTTTTTAGACCGGCGACCCCAGTCATAAGCAGGTGACGCACATGCGCGGGGCCGCCCCCTGCACGGCACGCATGCACGGCAGCGCCCCCTGCACGGCACACATGCATGGCGCCCCCCTGCGCAGCGCGCATGCACAGCGCCGCCCCATGCGCCGCCCCCTGTGTGGCGCGCATGCGTGGTGGCACGCATGTGCAGGGGCGCCCCTTGTGCCGCCCCCTGCGCAGCGCACATGCGCGGTGCCCCCCCTGCGCCACCCCCTGCGCGGCACGCATGCGCGACGCTGCCCCCTGCGCCGGCTGAGAAAAAAATGGCGGATCGCGTTGTTTGGCGACCCCCGTGAAATGGTCGTTCGACCCCAAATGGGGTCGCGACCCACAGGTTGAGAACCGCTGCTGTAGAAAGTGGTAAGGATAGGAGAAGGAAGATGTGCTTTTCTCATGCGATGCAGAAAATGCAGGCACTGCTATGCCGGCTTCACCAGAGTCTCGCTGTTGAGCGACCAAGCCAGCCTGCCTAGTGAATAGAGCTCCTAGTTTGTGACTCTCACGTTGTTCTTTTGATTTCAATACGTATCCCCTGTTCCTAATTTACGTTATCTCCCACTCTGATGAGTTCTAGCTCTTTTATCTAACTCCTAGGCCACTGGCTTTGACCTGTGCTTTTGTTGCTTTGCTTGGGGTAAAAGAGAAAAAGTAACACAGGAATATTTGTACAGGATTAAAAAAAATAGAATTAACAAAATTTGCGAAAGACTTTACAACAGGAAAGTAAAGTATTTCACTCAGAAAAGTCTATATTCAATTATTATGAATTGCTGCTAAGTTAGGTTTGTTGTTCAGTGAAATTTTTCATCAGTTAGAGTACCTGGCAGGCTGTTATGATCTGAGGCTTACCCACGCAAGCCATAGCACTGGTAACTGAATTTAACCTTTATTAAAAACAATACAGGAATTTCAGCAATGTATAAACAAGTTTGCAAGAATGTCACATTGGAGAAGGTGTAATAGACCTGATTCCTAATTAAAATGCCAGTTGGCCATCACCTGTGTCCAAGCAGGTATCTGTGACCTAGGACTTTTACATGCACTACAGTTTTAAGACATCCAGGTAGAATATAGTTTGAAAATACAGGTATTTATAGAAATTTCATTTTTTTATCCCAATTTATATCAAGAATGGTGTTATAATGTTGGCAGAATGTTGCAACCATCTGTTTTTATCATTATATCCACTGTTACTTTATGAAAGCACAAATATTTCTCCATAGTAATATTTTTCTTAACATCCTCCTACCTCAATGCAGTTGAGCTCTATATGCTATAATTATATTTTAACATTATTCTAATATTATATGACAATTAGAAACATCAACCACAATTCTTTTCAGAAGCATACTTTGCCTTTTTAGATTATGAAAGCAACTTGGCAAAGATAACCTCTGTATGAATAGAATCATATTTATTGTTTCAAAAAGCCTATTAAAATTTGTATAGTAGCCAATAAATGTGTAAAATGCTGAAAGTATGTGTGGGATAGTTGGAACATTTTCACTGAGCAGATTTACTATAATCCAAATGCAACTCTACACTTAGTTCATGCCATTGTATTACCAATTTGCACGTTATCCACTCCCAGTCTGTTTTTTGAAAACTAAAAAGTTATCTGGGATTATTTATGATTGTACTTGTAGATCAGGGGTTCTCAACCTTGGCAACTTTAAGACTTGTGGACTTCAACTCCCAGAATTCCTCAGCCAGCAAAGCTGGCTGAGGAATTCTGGGAGTTGAAGTCCACAAATCTTAAAGTTGCCAAGGTTGAGAACCCCTGTTGTAGATCAAGTTGTGAATAGGATGACCAGTTTAGTCAGATATAGAAAGTCATATTTTTTCTAGATATCTACCATTCATTTTAATATTTACCAGACTCAAGAACGATATGGAACAGTTCAGCCAGAGTTTAGTTCTTTATTTGCTAACACATAACAGACAGAATCTTGCTAGACTAAACCCCAATCACCCTCAGCCTAATGGATATACCCTGAGAAATAGCCCTGGAGTGGCTATCCAAATTCTCTTTCTCTGCCTCCTATCCATCTCCAGGCTGTGCTGTCTATTGTCTTTCCCCCACAAACACACACTTTCTGTAATGTGCTCCTTTCTTCCTGGGAAGTTGCACCTCACTCTAGTGAGGTGCAAACCTTTTAGAGACTGAGTGCCCAAAAACTGGCCCCGCCTCCACTCCACCCCCTGCCCCACCCCCACTCCACTCCGCTCCCACCCCACCTGCCCACAAGGCCACTCCACCACAGATCGCCCCGACAGCTCAGCAGCGCCATGGTGGCCACGCCCTCTGCCCGCGCCCCACAGCATCAACTGTGATTGATGGGGTGTGAGGGCAGAGTCTTGTCTGCGCTGCCTGGCTGCCATGTCCTTAGCTGTGCTGCTCCGCGTGGGCCATACTCGGAGGTGACTCTCCTCCAGGGAGGCTGCTGGTGAGAAGGGGGTCGCAGGGGGAGGCAAGGCTGGGCAATGGCACGTATGCCCACAGAGAGGGCTCTGAGTGCCGCCTCTGGCATCCGTGCCATAGGTTCGCCACCACTTCTCTAGTCCTTCATACCAGCTCTTCCTATGTGGCCTTCATTTCTCACACAGATAAAAATCAAGCAAAGCTTCAATCACACCATCACAGATAGCATCCTGAGGTTTTTTTTTAACCCATACCCAGCAGACACCCATGTATCAACATGAGCTGATTCAGTTGGAGCAGAAAGTGGGCATAGAATTATCTGCATAAAATATATATTCAAAAGGGCGTATATTTGAAAAAATGCATCCTGAAAAAAAATCCATGCCTTTGGAAAATGACTGAAAACAAGAAATAGTTTGTACCTGTAAAAAAAAATTGAAACTTCATGTCAGCGTTATATTTTTAAAAGCATAAAATGTATAATGAGTTGGGAAGCATACGGTAAGAAAAGCTGTATACAAACTACTTATGTTAAGGGGGAATAATATAAATGCAACTCTCCAAATTGTAGCTTATTCACATGATAGAATTAGAGAATGGAATAATACATGAAAACCTGCATTAAAAAGTGCATGCTGGTATTGTCCATTTTTAATAGATTCACTCATAACACATTTTGCATAAATAATAATTGTTTTGTTCTGTTTACGCTAATTAAGGCAAAATCACAGAGATAACCATGCTTCTAATTTTGAGACTAGAGAAATAAGGAGTCTTTTCAAACCCTAATTTGTGCTACTATGGATTGCAGCTGAAAGCGCCTCCATTTCCCCCTATATATTATTTGCTTTCTTTCCCCAAACGCCTAGTATATACTTGGGTTTTTTTTCTCCTAAATGATCCCCTTATAAATCGTAAATATTATTCAGCAAGTAATTGAAATGTTTACTAGTTCTGTCCATCTTGAATCTACTAACACATATACTATGTGTTATATACACAGAGCCACTGCTTTTCCTGCTTAACAGTGTTTTCTACACATGCTGAGCACCAAACAAGGGCAGAGAAATTGGGTAAAAGAAGAGTCAGTGAGCTGCTCACCATCTGCCTTCAACCTGGCAAAGCAGATGTTGTTTCTCTAACAATGTCAACATTTTCTTAAGTGCCATTTCCAGCCATCCAATAAGAGTATTAATTAAAGGTTGGTGTTGTTAAAAATGATAATGACATTTTGAAAAAGCAGGGGAAATGCTTTAATGCTATTTTTATTGCGATTGCTGCCCGTAGAATGGAAGTCAGTGTAATTTTTTTCAGGGAATATATTTAGGAGTGAAATATCTATTTTAGTAAGGCCTATCTTGATTAGAATTATTGCCATTCAGATTAGAGAGATTTAATATACCTATCTAAATCTCAATGTTCAATGTCTTTTCCAACGGTACATTAAAATGTACAGTTCCTGGAGTATGATTTGTTTATGGAACCAGAAGGTAACCATAACAGTAATAGTATAACAGAAGTAGAAGGGATCTTAGAGGTCTTCTAGTCCAATCCTCTGCTTAAGAAGGAGACCCGATATTATTCCAGATAAAAGGCTGTCCAATCTCCTCTTAAAAACCTCCAGGATGGAGCACCAACAACTTGTGAAGGCAAGCCGGTCCACTGAGTAATTGTTCTCACTGTCAGGAAATTTCTCCTTAAGATCTAATTCTCTCTTTGATAAGTTTCCATCCATTACTTCTTATCTGGCCCTCAGATGCTTTGGAGAATAGGTCAACCTCCTCATCTCTGTGATAGCCCCTCAAATATTAGAAGATTGCTATCATGCCACCCATAGTCCTTCTCTTCATTCGACTAGACCAGGGGTCTTCAAACTTGGCTCTTTTATGACTTGTGGACTTCAACTCCCAGAATTCCTCAGCCAGGCATGCTTTAATTCTTTTTCACAAGACGTCCTTCTGTCTTTCACTTGCTTTAAAGCTTTATCTCTTATTCTCTTTATCTCCTTAAGCTGCCTCTAGGCAAACAATTTTCTTTTCTTTCTTCTTTTCTTAGCTATTGCCTTTAGGCTTTTGCATCTTTACCCCATTGAGTATCTATTTGTCTCTGGGTTAAGTGAAGTCCTTTGCATCCACAGTTCTTTATATCTTTCTCAAACTCTGAGTTTAAGTGCTTCCCTCTCTACGTTTTAGGAGAACCTCTCTTTCCTTTCTTGAGTCCTCTGATCTTTTTTCCTCACACATTCCTCATTGTCCACCAACAGTTTCCATATCCATTTATTAAATTTCCCTTGTTTCCTTTAACAAGTCAATGTATTTGCTTCTTGTGGCAATCCCAGTTTGTATTAGGTTTATCTATTTCCCAACTATTTCCCATCTCCCTAACCTTGATTTTACATTAGAATTATCTGTTTTTGTCAGACACTATCAGCTTGAGAGATGACTGTTACGACACTTCCACCAACTTTGCAGCAGTGTAAAAAAACCCCATCCAGATCTTGTTGATACTGTGATAGTCCTGGAGAGTTAGTTTATATCTGCCTCAGCAGTGATGTAGATGAAAATGCAGTAATATTTTTAAATATTATGATCCATGGAGCTTGTGGATGAAGGGGACCCCTGTTTCACCCAGCTTCCTAGCCTGCGAGCAGTCCCTGCGGATTTTATTCCACTGGTCTTTGCTAACTATAAACATCACCAATTATGCTCAGGTGAAGCTTTATTATTGTAGTTTACACTTCTCTGTGTTATCAATTTTAAATTTTCTTGGTATTTCAATATACTGTATTCTAATGCTCTAATAGATGGGGATACAGCAATATGCCTTTGTATTTACTTAACTGTTAAGGTTTATTTGCAATCTTCACTAACTGTTGTGGAAAGAATAATCGCCAGGTCCAGTTTCAAGCTGGGAGTAAATAAAATGGAGGCTAATATGCTGGAGGCTGCTTATGAAAGAAGGTTCCTGTTTATTGATGAGTAGAACCAGCAACAGCATGTGGTTCTGGGACAGCTGACCAGATGGAGTTGAGAGTGGATGGTTCTTTATAGGGTTCTGAGACTTTGAAGGGGAAATGTTTCTGGGTTGTGTGATGAAGTGGGCTTTTGTGTCTTTTGCTAGCCTGAAGAAGGTTAATCTTATTATGTCCTAAAGGTCATGTCCTGTTCTTAGATTTTGGGTGGGGAATGTCGATTTTAGAAGTCTTTGTTTTTCTAATCCCATCAGTTCCAGCCTTCTTGCCCTCAGTCTTCCTGAATGGATTACCAAATCTACTGTGCATTTCTAAAGAGCTGGCCTGCTCAGTTTCTGCTTGAGGCAGGGAGACTGGAGGGAGACTGGCGCTATTTCTGCCTAAGATTTTTCTCCATTATTCCTTTGGGGAAATATAATATTTTGCCTTTTTTAATATGCCCCACAATATTTCCTTCTCTAGGAGGATGGGTGGGTGCTGACTTTCTACAATTCCCCCCCCCCCTTTGTGCCCTATAAGTGTGGGTGACACACTTTTACTAGCACAAGATTAAGAATTGATCTGATCAGGGAGACTTGATGGGTGCTTTTATTTTTTTCCAAGGATGCAGGGAAGCAAGTTCTCAAATTGTTAATGCAGAGGGGAAGGCACTGATAGAGGCAGCAAAAAAGGAACCCTGTAGTGGCTCCCAAAAAGGGGAACATTCAACCCATGAAGATCTAGAAGCCAAGGCAAAAATTCTGTTAGGAGGAAAAAAAAATTATAGTGTCCAATATTTTGTGCCAATTCTTTTAGATGTTTGATGTCACTGTCTGTGAACTTTCAGTCAGGTATGAAGTAAGCATGTGCCCCATAATTCTTCACAGCCATATTTTGCCTTAGTAAATAATTATTGACTGCCCATTTTCAAGGGTTGCTTCCTGAGCCTGCCTTAGCTCTTAGTTTAGTGCATCCAGGGTTTGTGATGTCAAATTGCACAGTGAGCCCTAGGACTCCCACTATGAGTCCACTAGTGCAACATAGTCAGGGCTTGGATTTGGAGATCTCTTTTCTGCTACCTCCTCAGTGTGATTCTGAATGGTGTGTGTGTATGTGTGTGTGTGCAGCTACTTCTACAAGACAGGCAATATATCCTGGACAATTTTTCCCTCCCACCAGATAGAAGTCCAAGGTGTTCAGGACTTGCTGTGTCAACCACTCCCAAATGCCATCCCTCCATAAATCCATTTAACTGGCTAATTACAATATAAAGGAAGCAAGAAAGAAAACCTTACAATGAGTTTCTGCCCTCCACCCATAGTCTTTGGAGTTGTCTTCTGAGGCTTCATGTGGGGCCAATGGATCCATAAGTCCTTCTTTTCTTTGCAATTTTCACAGGTACCTGGGTGATGTAGGACCTGGGAAGATCTTTTCCACTCTGGCTGCATGGTGACTTTCCTAGTAGATGGCTGGATCCAAACCCAATTCCTTGGCTCAAATGAATAGAAGGTCTCCTCTGGAGGCAGCATCTGGTTCAGTGTGCTCTGTTTTCAAAGGTTGTGGAGTCATCTGGGCAAGGCTGAAAGATATGAGAACAAGGTGACCTCCCACCTTTGTGGGTGACTCTCCCAGAAGTGGCATCATTGGTCTGACATAGGAATGGAAAACAGAGGATAAGAAATGGAGAAGTGGAATGGGGGTGTGGTAGCTTGCAGGCAGGGTTTGACAAGACAAAAAGGTTAACATTGCAGATGTTAAGTAGACAGATGAAACCCACTTAATCACATACAGTAAATGCAAGAATAAAACTTTTCCTATAAATGAACTTAAAACGTTCTTTCCTGACATCCTTGGGCTGTTCTTAAAAGCACAGAGGGAGAAAGAGAGAGGATGGGGGAAAGGGAATACAGTTCTCTTCACCCTATTTTGCTGGCCAGGCAAACTAGGGTGAAGGTATTTTTCTTTTGGTGGCTTATTTTAACATTTTCCCCCTAGAATTTAAAATTATTTTCTCTAGGGGTTAGAGACATTTAACAGTTATATTTACCTCGAGGACACATAAAGACTTTGAAACACACACACAAAGACAAGAAAAAGAGAACAGAAAAGGGAAACAGAACTCTTAGTTTTACTCATCCTAGTCATTCCCACCATAAATCTCAGTTAACTCAAATTAGGGAAGGCAAAAATCTTAACGAAAATACAACATGGTTGCAGAGAAGACAGAGAGGAAGAAAAAAAAAAATCAATGTTCATATATATATCGTTTTCATTTTAAGTACCTTTATTTAGCCAAATTGGTTTTCCAGCTTTGTCCCTGAGCAAAGCCCATTCCTTACATATATCCTTTGCTTGTTTTCTCTTCTCATCCCAACACATGAGCAAGTCTCCTGGAGGGGATCCAGGCACAACCCTTGAGCTACAGCTTCCCATGTTCCCCTTCCGATGTGGGATTCAATCAGCCTAGCCGGGTCCTTCTGCCGCAGTCAAACTTGCCACCCTGCCTGTCAGATTTTGGATCAAAAGGGGGGCTGGGAGGACTCTGGTTCCCTAGCAGAGTAAAGGAACCTCCTTCCAAGGGAACACCACCAATGGTTTTCAAACCAAAAAGGGGTCTGGGAGGACCTGCTTCTTCCCAACACAGTGAGTACGGGCAAAACCCTGTCAAGGAGGTGTCCGTACTCACTGCTTAGAAGAGCAGCAGGTCCTCCAGACTCTCCTGGGGTCTGAAAACCGTGGGCAAGGAAAGGCCATTTCTGCCTAAGATTTTTATTTATTTATTTGTTTGTTTGTTTATTTATTTATTTATGAGACTTATATACCGCTTTAAGTGCAAGCACTCTCTAAGCGGTGTACACCAGTAAGCAATGTATATATATATATATATTTACATTGCCCCCAACAATCTGGGTCCTCATTTTACCTACCCCGGAAGGATGGAAGGCTGAGTAAACCTTGAGCCGGTGAGATTTGAACCGCTGACCTGCTGAACACAGTCAGCTAAAGTGGCCTGCAGTACTGCGCTCTAACTGCTGCGCCACCTCGGCTCTTTTTTTCTCCATTATCCCTTTGGGAAAATATAATATTCTGTCTTTTTTTAATATCCTCCAAAATATTTCCTTCTCTCGGAGGTTGTGTGTGTGTGTGTGTGTGTGTGTTTGTGTGTGTGTGCTGACTTTCTACACTGTAATAAAGAATTTGATTTTGATTTGAAATCCAAAGGTTGGGAAATTAGATCTGTTGGAAATAAAGAGAAGTCAGGTGACCTGAAGAATTTCTCTGCCATACTTGTGGATCAGCTTCATATGAGAGTCAAAGGAGGATCATCAAAGCAAAAGATGGGCCTGGTGATGAATCCGTTTAAGTTTGATGGGAAACTTTTGGGGGACAATGTCCAATCACAGAACTAGAAAAGACTTGGACAATTATAAAATTGGAGAAGACATGAACTGGAGAAGACGTGAATAGAACTGGAAAAGATTTATTCGAGGTGGCGCAGCAGTTAGGGTGCTGTACTGCAGGCCACTTTAGCTGACTGTGTTCAGCAGGTCAGCAGTTCAAATCTCACTGGCTCAAGGTTGACTCAGCCTTCCATCCTTCCGGGGTAGGTAAAATGAGGACCCAGATTGTTGGGGGCAATGTAAATATATATATACATTGCTTACTGGTGTACACCGCTTAGAGAGTGCTTGCACTTAAAGCGGTATATAAGTCTCATAAATAAATAAATACATAAATAAATAAATAAATTCTGTAATTCTCTAGGACATGGATCATCCTTCCTGCTTTGCACTTCATTGACTTTAGGTTTCTAGGCTATATCATTGTCAATCACAGGTCCTGAAGGTGAGCTACACTCCATATGTATTTTCAGAAGAGATCAGTGAACATTGGATAACATTGCTATGAAGGAATAATTCAAGTTTCCAGGCTTAGGAGTGGCTAAAAAATAATAGCCTGAGGACTGTTAACCTTCACTGAGTTTGAAGAAGTAATTGTCATTAATTTTTGATACCATCATTCAGAATGCATGTTTTATACTCCTGCAAATTAGGCAAATAAATCACAGTGCAGAAATGTGTACATGTTGGAGATTTTAAAGTAATGTTATATTTTTCGGTTTCCTTAGCTGATACTCTTTAATTCATTTTCATCACCTTTTCCTTCAATATGAAAACCATTTTCCTGCATGTTATAGGAGACAACAAAAAATCCTTGTTATAAGAACACAAAGCCTCTGGCTATTTTTTTTTCAAGTACTCATTTGCTCTGTATACATGTTTATAGCCATTCTGATACTCACTGAAATAATTTCTTTCATGCTCTTTATTTATTCAGATCTTTTTTCCATTTCCCCCTTTTCTAGTTAGTATTAAACAAATGACTGAATACTTCTTTAAGAAAAGTGCTCTTAATGCAGACAGGCGTCTACATTTGAACAAATATGTGGGCAATTTCCATAGTATGAACAACAAATATTAGCCACAATTTCCTAATAAAATTTATGACAATTTAGACTTGTGACTGCTACTTTTCTCTCCGTGTGTTTGTGCTTATTGAATAAAATTACTACAAAAACTCTCTCAAAGATATGTTAACATATTATGAAAGTAGCTCTCTAGTTTTTAATGCCTCCTATCAAGATTTTTGACAGTCTTTAAGTGCACCAGGGTTTTCTTATTAAGGTTCATCTAAAAAAATGTCAGTAAGAATGACAATATTCATTTACCACATTCAGGGAGAAGTTACTGCAGTCAGAAATACAAACTCAGATTTCTTGTGATCACAGAATATACAAAATATCTGATTAAATAAATATCCATGATAAATAATTGGGTTTAAGAACACTGACTCAGTTAAGATGAAAAGATGTAAGACTCACAGATGTAAGACTGCCTAACAAGTTCTCAGAGCTAATTTTGGGATGGCAAATATTTCATTACTAAACACCATCTATATGGAAGAGATGGTCAAGTGAAGTCTGTTAATTGGCATCAGTTGTGTGTATGTGTGTGTGTGTGTGCATGTGCTCTCTCTCTTTCTCTCATATATATGTATGCATGTCTGTTATGTCAGCTATGAACCATTATTTGGGTAGGAAAGTACTGTAAGGTCCCAGTCCCTTACTTGAACCTGAGATACCACATCAATCTAATCAGATAACCCAAGTGGTGGCTTCTTAGACAGCTCTTTATTTCATCAAATAAGATGGCTGGGTGACAGACAATCTGGAATGCTGGCAGAGTTACGTCCAGAAGTGCCACACCTTAGAAAGTTAGTAGCATTGCTTTGTAAACTTTGTTAGTCCGTGAAAATCATACAACAGAGCCATTACATCGTAAGGAAGACATCAATCATTCCTGTACACTCCCTTATTCCCTCCTTCAGTATGTCCCATCCATGTACATGTTTCCCATGCTTGCATGAAATTTGTCCCTGACGCAAACACTGATTTACAAAAGCAAGATACCAATAATTAGGCTAAACAATTTCCTTTTGTTCCAGTTACAGAACCCTTCAGTACAGTGAGTGACAAGTAATTTTCATTTGAATGTAGTTTTTAATTATATGTTTTCATAAGACCACAAATGGGATTTAAATCTATCTCCCTTGATCATGACTTGGTTGGAATGCCAGACTTGTATTGTTTAATCTAAATTTTCTATTATTTCGCAGTTGAAGGTTGTGTTCTAAATTGTCTTTATAGACTAGAGCAGGGGTGTCAAACTCGCAATGTCATATGATGTGTTGCGGTGTATCGTGACTTTTTCCCCATTGCCGGCAAAGGGGTGGGTGCGGTTTCGGCATGACGCATCCGGCCCGTGTGCTGGCAGTTTGACACTCCTGGTCTAGAGGAAAATTAGTGATTTTTCCAAATCTATTGATTGCTAGCTAATAGGTCCTCCTACAACACTCTGCTAGTCATTTTACCTGTTAGCCCTATAATGTTGCCCATCTAAATTATTTTGACTCCTGATTTATCATATTTAGCACTGGATATTTAGAATCCTTAGCATGGACTTGGTTGGCTGGTATGTTAAAATGGTCAGAGTAATCTGTTGGTGGACTCAAATATACCTCTGATATAAGAGAGGGCTGTTTTTTGGTAGATTGTGATATTTGTGTTATATTCACTGGGATGGGCGTGCAGATTTTGATGACATTGTATGTACTGAAGGATATCTTTATTGGCAATTTATTTCCACTTTGTAAAATTGCTGGTGTGATTCGCTGCATTGTGGTTTCTCTGAATAGGATTTTTATTTCCCTTTTTTGTATGATGTGATGTTGTTAGTGCTGTAGTTAAGAGATTTTGCTGTGTGGGTTGTTGTATGTTTGTTATTTTCTCTGCTAAGGATGTCTAAGAAAGGTAACTCCTTCTTGTGTGAACTTTATTTTACCAAATGTGTGGTTATATATGTTTTCAAACTGTTCTTTTCTGATTTATGAAAAAGATGTCATCTATATTACATATGCCTATTTTGTGATGTATTATTAATGGGATGACTATAGCCGCAAGTCATTACATTACTACTTTTCTCCTGAGATAGAGCATCCTACTGCACCCCTTTGAATTGTTTGTAGACCATCAAATGGAAAGTATATGGTGAAAAAACAAAGACTGAAAAAAAAAAAGATTTAAGATGAACCATGTGCTTTAGCAGCTCCTCTCTTATTGTAATCAGATTTGACAGGTTTTGTTGCATCTTTGCTATTCAAAATAAACTAGGATTAATTTAAATACAAAAAGTGAGTAATATTTTAAATTATGGTTTGGGGAACAAGAAACATTTGTTTGGTTTGCAGATAAAACTAAGCACTAATAATACCTCAGTTACCTTTTGGCAGTAAATCTCACCAGAGCTCCATATAAGATCTGAACTAATATTTTGACTTGGAAAAAGTTTTAAGAGTTGCAGAAATTAACTCTCCACACTGGAGAAAAAAAATAATTCTACTTGAAAGGCATAATCATGATGAGATTTTAATGATATTTAGCATCAGTTCCTTCCCCAAAGGAACTGGCTGAGGAATTCTGGGAGTTGAAGCCCACAAGTCATAAAAGGGCCAAGTTTGAAGACCCCTGGTCTAGTCTTTGCAGCCTTCCTGCTTAACTCATAGAGCAAATGGCGGAAATGCTTGAGTGCTTGAAGCACTAAGGCTGAGTAAGGTTTCTCTACAAGACCTGTTGCTCTCCAGTGGAACATATGTGTCTCCTTATTTACTCTGTCTTGAAGGAGAAACTATAAAAATTGATCTCTAAAAACTCTTTTGGGAATAATAAAGAAGTAAGCCCCAAACAACTTTTATATATAGCAGCATTGTTGAGATAAATTGTTTCCTGTAAGTAAGGAGAAGACTTTTCTGAAGTGGGAGCTTGGATTCTAAACTATTGTTCTCAAATCAATAGCTTGTTGATTACATCTTAACAGGCTATCTAGAGACTTAATTATTCCTCTTCTGCCCAGCCAGCAGTCTTTATGGAGCAAATTAAATTCAGTTTGCAAACTGACCTGATTAAGTCGGAGCACACTAGTTGG